CTGCCCTCTAGTCCATGAACAATTTTCCCTCATCCCTACTCACCCCCTGCCATAACCATCATAGATTATTTCATATATATATATATATTATGGATAATTATATAATTCACAATTTCAAAATGACAGTGGCACACATCTTTCCCAATTCCTATCCCAAACCCTTCACTGGAATTGAGTCTGTATTTTGAGTCATGAGGTTTTGAATCTGCTTCCATTATTCTTTTTTTTTGTTTGTTTAGATATGGGGCTTCTCCCGGGTCATAGTTCACCTGGGTCCATAGCTCACTCAGGGCCATCTTAGCTCACTGAGCTGTGTAGCTCACCCAGATTATAGCTAACTCGGGGCTATAGTTCACCCAGGACTGTAGCTCACTCGAGGCTGTAGCTCACCCAGTTCCAAAGTTTACTCGGGTCAGTAACTCACCCAGTAGCTCACCCGAGGCCATGGCTCTTAAATCTGCGGGAGCAGAAAGTCTCATCATTCTCTCAAGGAACTGCTGGCAGGCTGGTTCTCATATCTTTGTTGTATAAAGTCCAAGCAATGTGTCTGCCCAATATGCCAGCTTGAGGGTAGTCCCTCTAAGGTATTTTTCTTAAAGTAACACACAAGGGGTTTGTCTTAGGAATCTTACTGGCCTCAACTGAGGGATACTATCCTGTTGGCCAGTCATGTACTAAAGGGATCTGTAACCAGATCTGTAAGCTTGCAACCTCAAACCCAAGTTTCAGACAAGCAGAAACCTAAACAGACATAACTTCTATTTAAACCATACTTTTAAGGGAAGAAGACTCTTCTTCTTTCTGCCCTCTCTTCTTTCTGCCTTCTCTTCTTCCTTTTCTTCTGCCCCCTGCCTTCTCTCTGGGGCAGAGGTCACCTTCCTCTTCCTGACCCTGAATAAAAGTCTCTAGATGGGGGGGGGGGGGGAAAGGAAGAAGAAAAAAAACCCTGCAAAACAGACAAAAAGGTAAGTAGTCATTGGTAATGTGAGAAGCTAAACTAAAGTCAACATGCTTTTGGTAGTCAGTGTGTGTGGGTTGAGGGGGGTGGGGGCGGGGAGGTCCCTTACCATTTAGAAAGACCTGAAAGAACCAGTCCCCACAGCTGCTAGTCCATCCCAGACTGGCAAGGTCTCTACCTGGCTGAGCCCATGCAGCTGTCGGAAGTTTCTAAGGACTCTCAAAAGTTTACAAAGCTCTTGACTGGCTGGCTAAATGTCACAAGATGTTTCCCTATATTAAAGATTCTTTCTCTGCTAAGTAAGAATAACAAAGCAAGAAACAGGCTTGTCACACAAACTAGGAATTTATTGTTGTTGTCACGTGCCGTCCAGTTGGTTCTGACTCATAGCAACCCTATGCACAACAAAACAAAACAATGCGCAGTCCTGCCCCATCCTCAAAATTGTTATGTTTGAACCCATTGCTGCTATCACACTGTGTCAGTCCATGGGGGTCTTCCTCTTTGTCACTGACCTTCCACTTTACCAGGCATAATGTCCTTCTCCAGAGACTAGTCCCTCCTAACATTTTTTTCCCCAAAGTATGAGAAGACAAATTCTCTCAGTCTTGGCTTCTAAGGAGCATTCTGACTATACTTCTGCCAACACAAGATTTGTTTGTTCTGGCAGTTCATGGTACTTTCTGTATTTTTCTCCAACACCCCAATTCAAATACATCAGTTCATTTACACTCTTCCTTATTCATTGTCCAAATATGTATATGAGGCTGTTGAAAATAGCATAACTTGGGTCAGGAGCACCTAAGTCCTCAAACTGACATCTTTGTTCTTGAAACTTTAAAGAGGTCTTACAAGGTCAACAGATTTGCCTAATATAATGTGTCGTTTGATTTCTTGACTGCTGCTGCGGTTAGTGTTTATTGTGAATGCAAGCAAAATGCAGTCTTTGACAGTCTTTGATTATCATCAGTAAGTATTTTAAGCCCTCTTATTTACCAGCAAGCAAGATTGTATCATTTGCATATCGCAGGTTGTAATGAATCTTCCTCTAATCCTGATGCTTTGTTTTGCATAAAGTGAATACTATACTATAACATGTTAATTCCTTTAATGATTTTTTTTAAGTTATTTTCTTAATGATTTCTCCAGGGCTTACAGCATTCTTCACTTGCCAGAATCTACTTGGGATTTATACTAACATAATATACCTCAGGGTCAGCAGTTCGAAACTACCAGCTGTTCCACAGGAGAAAAATGAGGCTTTCTGCTCCCGAAAAGATTTACAGCCTCGGAAACCCTGTACAGGGTCGGTATGAGTCGGAACCGACTCCACGGCACATTACAACAACAAATTCTAGTGAGATACAGAAACTTTACTCCTACACAGGTCTATTCCTTCCCCCATGTTTTGTTCTAATATTGCTGTACATCTTATGTTTATATATGTTACAAGTCAAACAATACATGATTATAATTATTATTTTATCTAATTTATATCTATCAAAGGACTTGAGAAATGAAAAGATAAAAATATATTTATAGAATTTGTTAAATTAACTCTCATGCTTACCTTTTCTGGTTCACTTTCTTTCTTTCTGTGGATTCAAATTAATATCTGGTGCCATTTTCTTACTCCAATATAGTTTTTTATTCCCCATCCGCCTCCTTTGTACTGGTATTGCCAAACATAATTGTATTTATTTATGCTAGAGGCACAGCAAAATTATTTACATATTTTATATACTTGCATTTAGATCAGCTAAGAAAAGAAAAGAGTAGAGATATTAAGCATACCATCTTTTATACCTAATTACATAATTACCTTTACTGTCAATTTTTTCTTTCTTTCTTTTTTTTTTCAAGTGGATTCACATCACTATCTGAGGTCCTTTGCTTTCAGGCTAAAGTACTTACTTTACTATTTCTTGTAATTCTGTTTTTGTTTATCTTGAAATATGTTTTAAAAGAGTTTTTATTTTCATTCCAGATTTATTTCCTTTTGATCATTTTGAATATATCATCCCAATGCCTGTAGCCTTCAAGTTTCTGTTAATCTTACTGAATTGTCTGTTAATCTTACTGAAATGACTCTTGTGCATGAGTCATTTCCCTCTGGTTACTTTTAAGACTTTCTCTTTGCTTTTGTTTTTCAACATTTTTATTATGATAAAATGTTATCATAATAAAATGTGTCTATGTTAGATCTTATCCTATTTGTTTATTCTACTTGAAGGTGGTTTTTTAAGTGTCTTGAATTTGTAGATTATTTTTCATCAAATTTATAAATTTTCAGTCATTATTTCTTTGCATGTTTTTTTATTCCTGTTTTTGTCTTCTTTTTGTACTCCCATTATACATATTTCAGTTCACTTTTGGAGGTCCCACTTGTTTCTGAAACTATTTATTTTTCCTTATTCTTTTTTTTAATTGAATAATCTCTATTGATAGATCTTTAAGATCACTGATTTTTTCTTCATCCAGGTAAAACCTACTGTTGAGCATCTCCAGTAAAATTTTCATTCCAGTTATTGTGCTTTTTAATGCCAGAATTTTATTTGGTTCTTTTTGTTATTTCTCATTTATATATCTTTTGAGGTTCTATGTTTGATGAGACATTGTCATCATACTTTACTTCTTTAAGCATTTTTTGGTAGATCTTGGAACACATTTATAACAGCTGTGTGAAGTCTTGATCTTTTAACTCTGACATCTGAGCCCCTCTCAAGTTTAATATCTGTTGCTGGCTTTTCCCCCCTCATATATGACATCACTTTTACTGTTTCTTTACATGTCTCATATTTTTTTGTTGCTGAAAACTAAACATTTTAGATAATGTAGAAACTTTGGATACTGCCTGCACACACATACTTCATTGTTGTTCTTGTTTATGTATAATTATTGACTTGGTTGGACTCTTTTAGTGATGACTGTATTCTCAACAATGTGCAGCCTCTCATGTCATTCCTCAAAAGCCACAACTATTTGCATGTGCACCATCATATGCTGTTATCACAGGTCTCTCTTTGATTGTCTCTATTATATCTCTGTTAAGCTATCTCCCTCTGTTTTTATTATACTCGATTCTTGTGGTTGTTGTTAAATGCCATCCAACTCATTGCAACCCAGGATAGGGCTTCTGAGGAGCAACTGGTGGATTTGAACCACCAACCTTGTGGTTCAACTCAACCTGGCAGTCCATTGCATTCTGCTACAGTGCCACACCAGGATTCCAATTCTTAGCCTCCAGTAATTTATACCTGATTGCTTTCGTCTACAGTGTTCTCTGATTAAATTCAACCTGTTTTCCAGGGTAGTCTTTGAAGCTTCTTCAGACACAGTTGTGTTCGTCTTAATGGTCTCTTTCCCTTGATTCTTTTTGTTCACTAACAAGCCTTACTTTAGGCCAAGTAGGAGTTTTTTTCTGGCGTTACTAGCATCCTCTGAGTTGCTTTCACCGAAATTTTATTGTTTTTGTGAGTGCCCTTAGGCTTGAACATTCAGACCCAAATAAATAATTTCTTAATACTATGTCAGTAAATATCCATATATCTAAACCTTCGAGATTATTAAATATGCGGGGGCTTCAAATAGTTTGTGGAGAAATGGAATAAAAAGATAATGGAGTTTTTCCCTTGGACTTTTTGAAGCCCCTTCAAACACTATTTTTTTAAATTGCTTTATTATCATTTACTTGCTGTAAAAAATGACATGGAGGTGAGGCCTGACCTCTTCTGACTTAATCAGGGGAAAGAAAAATTACTCTCCTCATCAGGCCAAGGGCAATTCCTATGAAGCAGAGGTCAGACAGGCCTCCACAAATTCTGCCACCAAACTTTCTTCCCACAGCCCTCTCTACTACTCAGCTAGGTTCAATATTCATTGCAATAGCCACACAGAACTCACAGACCATACTCACAATTATGGGGTTTGTTAGGGAAATTAGCAGGTTATAATGTAGAATAAAAAATGCTGTACTGTATTATTTTATCAGAGGAACAGAGATAACTTTAATTTATGTTCTTTCCCTTCTTCTTTTCCCAAGTCACCTGGAACCACTATGACTCCAAGTAGTGGGTCTTTTCCTAGTGTATATGGTCAACAGACATCTATAGACAATCGTCAAGGTCAGTGGCAACGCCGAAGAAGGCTGGATGGAGCATTAAACAGAGTCCCAGTTGGATTTTATCAAAAAGTATGGAAAGTTTTGCAGAAGGTGAGAATAATACATTATGTATGGCTCTTTACTTCCTCTTTTGAATTCCTCAGTCTGCTTGAATGAGACATGACATGACAACAATTTACATAAAAGGGATATACTTATATGGACAAAACCTAGAAGAAAACATAAAAATGAAGCACTGGATTTATAATGGTGGCATTATTGATCATTTTATTTCTTTCCATTATTGTTTCTATAATGTTGTTTATAAATTAGATTTTTAAAATGATCACTTCTGGAGGCAGGGTTTGATGTGCAGTCAAGTTTCCGTCAGCAATACCACAGAATAACAGATGAAAAGGGTTCAGGGCAGATCTCCAAAACTCTGAACCACATAAGTAGGAATATTTAAAAAGTTTGAAGGCTTATAGCTAGTGGAACTTGTAGAAGAAGTAAGAAATCCTGAACTTTAGAATCTGCGAAGCCCAGCATCCCAGAGCCAGCAACTTGACTGAGACCAAACAACGAGACCAGACAGGGGAGCAAACAGACCCACTGGGAATTAACAACTGCGGGAACCTCAGAGAAAAGGTGACAATACTGTTTGGTTTTGCCTTGTTCTGATTTTTATTTTTTTGCTATCTGTTTGTTGGCTGTCGGCATACCTCCATTCTGGTGACGAGAGGGGGTGCCTGAGTGAATGGACACCCCCTACCCAACCACTAAAAGGTTCTTCCATAAAGCATGTGAACAGATCCTCTCAGCATTTAAAGACAATTGCCTTCCTTACTATCTGAGTACCTGGGAGTCGGTTCTGGCTAATAGTGAGCCGGCGCGGGATTTTTGAGGCTGTGAATCTTTGCGGGAGCAGGGGACTTAGTTTCTCCTGTGGAACAGCTGGTGGTTTCCAGCTTCAGGCCTTGAGCTTGGCGACCCAATTCATAACCACTATGCTATAAATACCTTAAATCTGCCACAGCCGCTCCTGAACTGTTTATTAATAGGGAAAGGCAAGAACGCGATGAGAAGAGAACAAAAAAGATGGTGGATCAGGTAGATGTGTAGTACAGAGCTCCACCAACAACACAGAATACCCGACCAAGCAGGCTCAGGGGATGATCCCAGAACTCTGAACTACATATAAAGGAATATTTAAAAGGTTGGAAGGCTTACAGCTGGGAGAATTTGTGGCAGAAGCAAGAAATCCATTGCTTTCTAGTCTGGAACGCTCGGCTGCTCCAGGAGCCACCATCTTGGGTGAGACCACATGGGGGAAGGATCGGAGCAGCCAAAGACACCTGGCAGAACTGCTGAGATAAAGGTGTGGACATTCTTTTCTCTTGGTATCTGTTCATTGGTCCCTTACTGTCTGCGCACCTCCATTCAGGTGACTATAGGGGTGCCTGAGCTAGTGGGCACCCCAGCCCCACCCTCGGAGGGTTCTACCACGCATGCACACAAATCTCCTCGAAATTTAGAGACAGTTTCCAATCAAAACCAAACAGCCACAGCTGGCCCTGAACAGTTTCCAACTAGAAAAAAGGCCTGAACAGGTATTGTGGAGCAGGACAAGCAGACAAAAGAAGAAATAAGCTGAAAATTAAATCCTAAGTTACGTCAAAATGACCAACAGTGGTATCTTGAAACTTCTCAGAAAGAAGAGTGAAAAGGGAAGCCCATTTCCTGATCACATCTACCTGGAGGCATTCAGAAAGCATAAAAAATACCAAAATACATACCCATCTAAGTATC